GCTAGGTGTTTGATTGATTATTTGTTTTCAGAAGTGTGTCAAAAATTATATTTGCTGAGAAATTACGTTGGTCATTGAGGACTTCAGACGGGTTGGATTTAGTATTACTGTATATATGAAATTGTTCAATTATGTCCAACTTATTGCTTTTTGGGCCTTTATGTAGAATTTCTAGGTCTTGGTCTATGGTCGAGTATGAGTGCATATGATTTATAAGATGCTCAGCATATGTGGACTGGTTTGTATTGGAATTTCTGTTTATATATCCCCGAAGCTTCGTAATCGTTTACTCTGCTATGTTTTGGTTTGTTGAGGATCTGGGTTAGGCTGTTTTTCGATTTGTAGGCAATTCGGTAACCTTTGTTACTTACCTTGTTGATGTTATGGATGGAATTGTTAATTCGGCCGTGATATGTCATCACAACAAATTGGTTCTGGGGTTTAGGCCGGTCTATTTTGTTTTGTCTGTTCTTATGTCGCCATATGAGTTTGTTTATTATATTGGGATTGTAACCATTGTTATAGGCTATTTGTTTTATTACGTTGAGTTCAGAGTTGTTGTCTTCTTTTGGTAAAGGAACGTTGATTAGTCTGTTTATCATGCTGTGAAAGGCTGCGTATTTGTGGGCTATGGGGTGGTTGGAGGATTGATGAATAATTTGGTCGGTAGATGTAGGTTTTCTGAAGATTTTAAATGTATGTTTGCCATCTTTTCTGGTTATGGTGAGGTCTAAGTAATTTATTTGTTTATTATCTTCAATCTCTGTAGTAAAAGTTAAGTTTGGGTGGATTTTGTTTAGGTGATTGCTTAATAGACTAATTTGTCTGCGGTTGCCGTGAAACAATACCAAGACGTCATCTGCGTATCTGTGATAATATGTTATCTTACTTGCCATCTTGTTGTGGTCGGAATTTAAGATATATTCGTTCTCAATATGGTTTAGAAATATATCTGCCATAATACTAGAAAGCAAGACCTTTGCTTTGCATGTAAAATTCGTTGTCATATTCAAAGTAGTTTTGATCCAATACTGTTTTAGTAAGGCTGAGCAAATCTTTAATCAATGATTCGTTCAATTTGTTACGTTTGACTAAATTTTGCTCAAGTATTGTGAGCGTTTCGGTTATAGGGATGCTAGTATATAGATCTTTTATGTCGAATGATGCAAGTATGTGTGTTTCGGGAGGTCTAGGTCTTTTATTTTGTTTATAAGATCCATAGTATTTTTGAGTGATCTGTTGTTGGGGAGTTCTATTTTGTTTCTAATTATTCTGTCTAATACTTTGGCTAGTTTATGGGCAGGGCTGTTGATAGAATTGGCTAAAGGTCTGATGGGTTGGCCTTCCTTGTGTAATTTTGGTTTAAATATTTATACCAAATCTCATCAAAATCAGATCATTTTTCTTGAGTTATCGTGCTAATAGACATATATTTACATTTGCTTGTGTACTTCACAACCCAAATTTAAAGTACAGCGAGACACATTTTAATGACAAAACAAGCTTATATGTCGGAATCCCTTTTTTTCTTTACTTCATTGCCGATCAGCTGAAATGCATAGTTATCTATGAGTTTTAGTTTGTTTGGGAATTTATTGCAAATAAGACTCAACATGGTGTTTCCACAAGCTCAAATAGAGTATTTAGTGTAATGAATACGTTTAAAGTAAATTATTGGTTTTATGCCAAGAAAGGTTTGAAATTAAGTTTCCATTGTGACTCCAGTACCTAATAAATTAAATCTATTATTGACATTTACGTCAAAACAAATCGCCAAACAATGGTGCAATAATCACCACCAGACATACGCAGATTCTCCACTCTCCTAGGAGGCCGTTGCTGACTTTGCAACTTGGGTGTCGTCCTAATTATCCAATAACTAAGCATAGAGTGTCTAAAACAATGTGAGTAAAACGACAACTTGCCAATAATAACATCAATGCGAGTTAAAAACAGGCGGGGTCTACTCGGCCACTAAAACCCAATAAACAACTCTAAGATGCCCAAGCTAACAATCTAACAGTAGTTCACTCGACTATTTCAGATAGCCGGTACCACACTAGCCAAGCTACCGAGATCAAGTGCTGGATCACTGATGAGCTGTTTAGTTAAATGAAAGTCACAAAATAAAAACACTACTACCCTCAACACGATATTTATTAGCTAGGCTTCTATTTAAGAATAAGAAGAATAAGAATAAGAATCCTTTATTGTCATTAGACACAGTTGTGCAATAGACATTGTCAAAGAAAACTATAAACTAGAAAATGTAACAGAGTCATGAACATTATCACAGTAGACCTTATATAACATACATGTAAAACTTAGCCTATATCACAGAAGAGATACAGTTGTCAATTGAGAATAAATATCATAAAATAAAAATTGTTGAATAACAATGCATGTTACTTAAAATCAATAAAATCAGTAGCACTCAAATGCAAAAACTCATTAACAGAATAAAGTGGGTGCTTTAGAAGACCATTTGTTACAACAGTTTTAAAATTAGCAAAGGATTCAATATTCTTGACATGATGAGGTAGTATATTGTACAGTTTAAGCCCTATAACTTTAGAGCTTTTGGCTGCTTTGGTCAATCTACAAAAGGGAATGTCAATTTCATGCTTGAGCCTTGTGTTGTGGCTATGTACATTTAGCCGTTTCAACAAGAATACAGATTGTTTTTTTACTTCTAATAGATAATAAGACTTAATATTAATAAGAATTAATAAGAATTAATAGGATAATAAGACTAATAGTTATCTACAAGACTAATGGCCACGTGCGGTCAACTATGCACTCTAAATCCTGTAGCCAAGGCTGGCCTTGGAGGTATTATTAAAATAATTACATAGTGGCCTGGCACAAACTTATACTAACCAAATTTATGAAAAATCTATTAAATGCGCTACGGAGCTTCGTCAGAACCTTCAGTGGAATATTTAAGTATTATTCCTGAGACTTTAAAATACTAGCTACGATCTCAGGATTAGACCAGCACGGTTACAACTCTAACCCTTGTAATTTAAAGTCATGGAATTTATTACACCAATATTATCTACCTTGATCAGCAATAATAATGAAAGTTGTCACTAACCGCTAACGGGTTTCTACCAAACTTACTTCATCGATCAGACTGTCTAGACTCGTCTGTCCAGTCCTAGACTAGGATAGGCCTATCCGAGGCTTAGCGGAACTGATAAGCATGGTAAAAGGGTGCTAGCTCGCTCCGCTGCTGATGCTTGTTGAGGGTGGCCCCAGGGGGGGGGGACCAAGGGGGTCGTGACCCCACCCCAAATATATTTTTTATACAAATAAACTATTATGCCAGGGAAACTTTAATATTTTTTGCTGCAAATCGTTCAAATTGTAGTGACCATACACTTGTGGTGAATGCTAGGAATAATTGCAAACTCTAACCTCTAAACCTTAAACTCAGGATCGTTCGAGTCAGAATATTTTTTTTGTACGTCGTGAAAAGTAGGGAAGATTGGCAGACGACGGACGCTTTCAGGCATATACAGCAGTGTCCCATTCTGGCGTTCGACGTTCGGCCGCATTCTTTTTTTATCTTTATTCCGCCATTAATGTTATTATTCATTTTAAGTTATATGATTGAAAAATTGAATTGACCATTGGATAAAGAAGAGTATCAACAAGTTAATAATGTAAAGAATAAAGAAGTTATGTCAATAGTCAAAGCTTGAAAGGGTTTGCGGGAATTTATCTGAGTTAAAAGTACTCTCCTTGACCTCTTTACCCTCTAGCGTAGAAAAAAAATAAGATCACGGAGAACCTATTTTGCAGGCGTGGGCAGTGACGGCGACGGGCATTGTTGGGTAGTGTACTTTGTGTAGGTTAACTGCTGCTTACTGAGCAGGTATAATGCAGTCGTGTTGGGTGAAAGTTTTTAAACACTTCTTCAATAAAATAAGTTCTGGTTTTAAATCTTGGTCTGATTTTGGAATACATTTTCTGTTTAACATGCACATCTATCAGCACCAGTTGAAAGGGTAATTTAATTTGGCAAATCAATAATGCTTGGGAATAGGTATACAACCTTGATGAAATAGTCCATTACAAAAACATCAATTCTATGATTTTTTTATAATTTTAAACTGAATGTGTTGTACTTTTGCGGTATTCTTTCATTGTTAAAGACACGTGTTAGGGAAATTCTACAAGTCTTAAAAATACAAAAACTTCACATTATACAAGTTTATTTTTCAACAAATTTCTTGAACCTTGAAATGAACTGGGAAGCTTGCATAGCTCGTGACATCTAAGCTGGCACTTGGCTGATCGCTAATAGTACCTATTTCAAAAACATTATGTCCAGTCATGCGGGTTGTATCAGTTGTCCTCGTGACCCATATGAAGGCGCTCAAGTACATAATACAAGAGGAGCCAACCCCGTGAGGCAGCGGTAATGTTTGCAGTCCGGTCTTTTCCCTACCTCCACCCTCCTCCCGCCTACACTGCCCGTGCTAGGCCAAGTGCCAGCTTAGGTGTCACGAGCTGTACATATTAAACTAGGTAAATTTAATTTTTTATGTCTCACAAACTAACTTAAAAATTGCTCATTTAAGCACGTCATTTTCAAATTTTTCAAGGAGGGAACCCTTTGCCCCCTCCCTAAAATAGAGGTCTAGGATCGCTCTTGACAATAGGTCTGAGGTTTTAGAACAATAACTTACCCCCCTGGAAAAATAGATTAGAAAACGTAAATAGCTGTAGGTACTCCCTAAACATTTTAAACCACAGTAAACCATTATTGAATTGTAGGTATTTTGGTATTATACCGACCACAACTTATATTTAAAACCTAACCTAGCCTTACCCAACCTTACCTAACCTAAGGTGGGTTAGGTTACGTTAAGATTTTTTACATTTAAACTAATTAAAATATTATTTGGAAGTTGATTTATTGATGTGGTCGGTATAATACCAAAGTACTGAATTGTATTTGTTGGCCTATAAGAATTTTTAATGATACTTACTGCCTTATCTTTATTTCAAGTGCAACTCCAGTTTTGCTTCCTTTGGGCAAATGTTCGAGGCGAATTGTAGAATTCAAAAACTTCACTTTTATTCTGCTCAAAACTGAAAATTGCATTACAAAAGGAGTTATGTAAAGTATAACTTTCAACTGCTAAATATCTTACATAAATTAACTATATTCTAAGTTAGTGCTACACAAACTGTTCTGAGATAAAGAACCTGTTTTACAAAACAAAACAAAAATACTATTAAGTAACAAAACATTAAATTTTTTTGAAAAAACTATTGAGTTTGGTTATGTTAGGAGTATGGAAAATGTTAGAGCTGAACCACTTAAGCACTCATTAATAAGCACCAGAAATAGTCATTGTTTGAAATTAAAATACTGTTATTCTTTACTCAAACTATACAGGGTGTTGAAAATGTCTGGAACCAACATTATATCTGGTAAGTGGTTAAAGAAAAACAACTGATATTTTGTGTACGGATATACTATGGTTTTACCTATCTTTTGGTGCCTTATGAAAAATTTTACCACTTATAGGGAACGTCCTGTGGAGGATGCAGTAAAAGGTTTTAATGGAAGCCTATGGTAAATGATACATCATTTTAAAGGCGATTTTTTTCTGAGTAAGGAGCCACAAGTTTCATCTCAAAAGGACCACCCTAGCAAAAATGGTGACTGTTTGAAATAAAAAAAAACACTTATAGGGAACGTTCTGTGGAGGATGCAGTAAAAAGTTTTAATGGAAGCCTATGGTAAATGATAGGTACATAATTTTAAAGGCCATTTTTTTCTGAGTAAGGAGCCATAAGTTTCATCTCAAAAGGACCACCCTAGCGAAAATGCCGACTGTTTGAAATTTAAAAATTCCGTTCCCTATATGTGGTTTTTTAAATTTCAAACATTCCCCATTTTTGCTAGGGTGGTCCTTTTGAGATGAAACTTGTGGCTCCTTACTCAGAAAAACATGGCCTTTAAAATGATGTATCATTTACCATAGGCTTCTATTAAAACTTTTTACTGCATCCTCCACAGGACGTTCCCTAGAAGTGGTAAAAATTTTCATAAGGCACCAAAAGATAGGTAAAACCATAGTATATCCGTACACAAAATATCAGTTGTTTTTTTTTAACCACTCACGAGATATAATGTTGGTTCCAGACATTTTCAACACCCTGTATAAGTGTTTGTTGTGTTGCTTACCCCATTGCCATCTTTTACATTTTTTGTAAGGGAATGTCATATGGCTAGTATTTTTACCGTCTTAATTTGTATTTCTTAATTTGGGCTGTATAATTCTTTGGATTCAGAAGAGTGGTTTAGTAAAACTTTTTTGTAACTATTATGTATATTCATTACATACTCTTTTTATTAACAACTTCCTGGATTTACATGATGAATGAATGAAAGGAGGGATTTTTAACTAAAATTCAATAGTCCTAAAAGCAATTTTTGGAAAACTGACCATAAAATTATTTTTTTGTTTTAGATTTCAGATAAAACACTAGTGTACGCACAATTAAGGGCAGGACCTACTTGAATCAATAGTCTTGGCAAACATTTCCAAGCCTTCCATTGTCTCGTTTTCCTTCTCCTCTGGAGCTGGAGGGTTCTGTTTCATACACTCTGCAGCCAGTTGCATGCTCGAGCTCATCGAACTCCACATGGACTCAAACATGGAAGTACCTGTCATGTCAAAAGTAACTAAAAACTGGTCAATCTTAAAAATATTCTTTTAAAAACCCTTGATTGTACTGTATCAAACTGTATTTTATGTCTGTAAGTAGATCTAAGCCTGACGTATATTTTTCGCTAAACTACTGTGAAATGGCCTGTTTTCGTTACATAAAAAAATAAATAAATAATTCTTTATTGTCACATCAACGTTTTGAATCATAGCACAGGTAAAAAAACAGATAACATTGTCAAGATTATTACTAACTTAACCTAATGTACAACAATATGTCTTATGCATTAAAAAATGTTTTAAACAAGTTGGCAAAATTGGTTAAACGATAACGGAAAAAATAAGTTTCTAGTCATACAAAATAAAAGTCATATTGATTGGTTAGTTCCATTGAGGTAATCATTAACACTGTAAAATGTTTTACTTATCAGAAAATCAGCAAGGCTGTTTTTAAAAGATTTATTATTAATTAAAGTTTTTAGATTTGAGGGTAGTTTATTAAAAAGTTTTTTCCCATGTATTTAGGTGTTTTTTCTACAAGCTTTAGTCTGTGTCTTGGATATTGGAAATTATTTTTAAATCTAGTGTTATAGATGTGGTCAAAGTTTTCGCTAATGTAGTCATCAAAATTTGAATGCACCTCTAACAATGTTTTGTAAATAATCAAATTTGGAATAGTCATAATATTCAATTCTTTAAAAACTGTTTTGCATGAAGATTTCCATGGTAAAAAAGTCATCCTACTAATATTATAAATGAGAAAGTTTGGATGTATGGATGTATGGATGTATGGATGTATGTTTGTGACAAGTGAACGCGAAAAACACTGGTCGGATTGGGCTGAAATTTGGCATGATGATAGCTCACATTCCCGATTAACATATAGGCATATTCTTATTTCAAAAATCCTTTCGGGCTCCACCCCAGTGGCTCTGGAGTTTCCTATGTTAACCTTATGAGAAATGGAATTATTGAATCTTAACAGCTGTTTCAATTAAACAAGTTGGTTCTGTTCTATGATGTTCAATAGCATTAAAGTTACAAGGATTACCAACAGGGTGCAGCACTATTATTTCTTTTACATTTATTACAACAGCTAATTTGCAACCAAAAGGTGAGTGAGCGTAGCGAAGGAACTTCAACCTGAAAGCGAGTTAGCGTAGCGAACGAGCTAACCTGAAGGCAAGTGAGCGCAGCGAACGAGCTCCAACCTAAAGGTGAGTGAGCGTAGCGAACGAGCTCCAACCTAAAGGTGAGTGAGCGTAGCGAACAAACTTCAACCAGGACGTGATTGAGCCATGCGAACGAGATAATCTTGAAAATTAAGAAGTTAAACGGGGCAAAGCCCGCGGGTTACAGCTAGTTACCAATAAACAAAAATAAAATATTGATGACAGGTGTTTTGAACTAAACAATAACAAAAAGATGTGATACAATGAGAATTGTCATAGTATAATGGTTTACAATTATGTTTAAGTTTTTATTTTCATAAGGTGGTGTGTTTGTTTTCTTTCAAACTACTATACATTTTTCAATTGTGATATATTTTCAAACTATGCTTTAGGCAATAAATAATGTTATTATCTTACTGTGGTAAGCCAAGCATCCATATAAGCCACCTCTATTGGTTTATACTATAATACTCTGTTTATTTCTTTTTCTACTTCATATTGGTTATACCATCGCGGGCGAAGCCGCGGGTACAAGCTAGTAATTCTTATAAACTTTTTTTGAATTTTAAAAACTTTTTCAATTTCAGAGGCGTACCCCCAAAATTCAATTCCATACTGTACTATTGAATAAAAGTAAGCATAATAGAGCATGACAGAAGTTTTCAGGTCTATAGAATTTCTTAAACATAACATTTGAAAACAGGCTGAATTTAATTTTCCGATTACCGACTGAATGCACTTACTCCAGGTCAAGTGTTTATCAATATATAGCCCTAAAAATTTTACATTATCATCAGTTGGTTGAGATTGATCAGTGAGTGCCATTGATTGAGGTGTACAAAATCTTACAAATTTGGTTTTCTCTTCATTCATTTTCAATCCATTGATCTCAAACCACTTAACCAATTCGGTTAGGCTTTCTTCAATTTTATGTTTTAATCCCTCATTGTTTTTTGTTTTAACTACTGCAGTAGTATCATCTGCATACAGAATTAGATTATTTGAAACAGTTTTTGGAAGATCATTGATATATATAAGAAATAGAAGAGGCCCAAAACTGAACCTTGAGGCACACCTATTCTAATTTTTTCCCATTCTGACTTTACTTTTAAAGTATCTTTACAAATGACTGTTCTCTGATAGCGATTATTTAAGTAAGATTTCAACCATGACACTGAATTTCCAGAAAAGGGATACGACTCTAGTTTTTGAATGAGGATATCATGACTGACACAGTCAAACGCCTTGGATAAGTCACAAAACACCCCCATCGTGCTATGCGACTCATCCAAGGCCCATGACACCTCCTCAACAAGGTCTGAGAGCGCTCTCATGGTGCTTCATTATTTGACTCTTTAGCAATCTGCTTAGCTCTCTTTTTCTTACACTAGATATTTTAGATATTAGTGACCCAAGGTTTTTTTTTTTTGTTTATGTTTTGGTTAGTATAAAACTTAACTAGAGACCGCACCGACGATCGCACCGTGACCGTGAGTCATACCGACGATCACACCGTGACCACGGAGTCATACCGACGATCACGCCGTGACCACGGAGTCATACCGACGATCACGCCGTGACCACGGAGTCATACCGACGATCACGCCGTGATCGCGAGTCATACCGACAATCACGCTGTGACCGCGGAGTCATACCGACGATCATGCCGTGATCGCGAGTCATACCGACGATCACCCCGTGACCGCGGAGTCATATCGACGATCACGACGTGACCGCGGAGTCATATCGACGATCGCGCCGTGACCATGAGTCATACCGACGATCATGCCGTGACCGCGAGTCATAAACTAAACTAAACCGACGATCACGACGTGACCGCGGAGTCATACCGCCGATTTTTGGCAAAATGCTCTGGCTGGATTTGATCCCTAATACACCCCATAGGTGAGCATATCAAGGTCTTCAGGTTCTTCTAATGCCTTGTCATAATCATCCGGTGTTGGCTTCCCCCAGTAGGCTGGCTTAGTCACAAGACTGTAGACTGCGGCTCCATTCAATGGTGTTTGACAAGTTAAATTGTTGTCAACCAAGTCAGTCATTTGTGGTCTACCAAATTTGTGTCTAAACACCACTGCCACTCCAGCAGACATATGCTTGGGATCGTTGAAATCCACTGATATTGAGTGGCCAAAAGCTAGGATACTATCATCTCTCAGTTGGTCAATGGCCTGACTCATATCTGCATCCATCACATTAATAGACTGTTTACCTGAATTCATTGTAAAAATAGGCCTCATGGATTTCTTATCATTGCCATTTTGAATAAGTAGAGCTATAGTTTTCGCAATGTTTATTTTTCCTCTTTTATTGAAGTGCAGACCGTGATTGGTATAGTAATGACGGGGCAGTAGGCCTACATGTAATGGTAGTAGTTTGAACTTCTCTTGATCAACGACAAGATTCTCGATATCAGCATTGGCTTTACTAATTTTAAGGTCCAGGTTAGGTTTGTCGTGACGCATAGGAATTGTAGCTAACATGAGGTTTGTGTGATCGGTGTGACTGATCAGCTTATGGATATCATCTATGAGTCGCTTATTACTTGTAGCTTCAACATTGTTTGTACCCGCAATAACTAGGAGGTGATCTTTTTTACTCAAACTTTTGCACAAATCCAGAAATCCTTGACTTCATGGATATTACCTGGTCAAATTTTGCTCCAGATCTAACGAATGAGCAAACATTTAAAGAGCTCCTTTCTTCAATTAGAGAACTTAAATTTTTACCATGGCTGTCTGCCAATATTACAAGTTTTATGAAGTGTTTTATAGAAGTGGTTTTTTCACGATTTACAGCTATACCTCTTGTGTTGGATTTCTGGTTACTATAGATTTTGCTATTCACGTCTAGTGTAGGTGAATTAGACTCAGAAGTTTTTGGTGATTTATTTAAACTGTCCTGTGAGAGAACTTCATATCTTTTATACATTATCGATTGTGATTTTCAACATAGAAGGACTTTATTAAATATCCTCATCTGTACATCAATCAAGCTCCGGCAATATACACTATATAAAGTCCCCTCAGCCGAATAACCTACCAAATAGGCACCATGGCGGAAGCCGTTCCCGTTCCTCATCCATGCGGAATCTGTTTGAAAGATGTCACGGCTCGACAACAAGGAGCGCAATGCCGGGCAGACTGCAATAGATGGTTCCATAAAGATTGTGCTAAAATAAGTACCTCTGATTATTCTCGCCTTGCAAATGATGACAAATTTATTTGGCAATGTATGCGTGCTGATTGTGTCAAAACGATGGATCAACCAAATGATTTGCTTAAAGAAATCAGAAACCTCACAACAATTGTTCAATGTCTTGTCGAAAAAGTTGACAACATTAAATCATCTGATTTAGCGGAAATAAAAAATGACATGAAAGCTGTTAATAACAAACTTGTATCGATTGATAATCGTATATCTGATTCTGAGTTACGCATTGGCACTCTTGAAGAGAAAGTTGAAGTTCTTGAGACTTCATCAAAGTCTGCTGTATGTCCTGAGGATATTATTGGCGAAATTGAGGATCGCTCCAAACGGGCACGCAACATTATCGTCCATGACCTACCTGAAAGCACCAACAGAGATATTCCTACTAGAATTTCGTACGATAAAAAGCTTATTAAAGATTTAATGCTGGCAATTAATTATGCTGATCGCGCCGAGGATTTCAAACTTTATAGAATTGGTAAGCAGAATAAAGACAAGTCACGACCATTAAAAGTTATTCTCAAGAGTCCTGAAGATGTAAAAATATTTCTTGAACTGTTTACTGCTTGTAAAAATGATCTTCAAAACTCCAATACAGA